CAGCACTCTACGCAGGGTGGCAGCTTGAGGCTCCATCTCAAAAAAAAAAAAAAAAAGAAACCCCAGTCACATATTTGCTACAACAATAAATAAATTATTCCTTACATTGGGTTTATAGGGTTCTCATACCCACTTATTGAACAAGCCTTTAACAAGGTGTAGTGCTAGAGGCAGCCATACCAAATGGGGTTAGAAGCCATATTTTCTGTTGGAAACTGGATCCACCTACCACTTAGTTAATGTTCTTAGGTAAGTCACTTTCCCTCTCTCTGCCTCCATTCTCTCTGCTGTAAAATGGGGATGATAATAGAACCTACCTTAGAAGTGATATTGAGGAAAACATGAAAAGGGATCATGACAGTGAGGTTTGGCTATTATTATTCCTGCCAGCTCTGCCAGATTTGGGGGAAATCAGAAACACTGCTTTGGGGGGCTTTACTGTGGTCTAATGAAACAAGATAGATACCCAAATGTCTGTTAAAATGCATTTTGTTGGGAAAAGGAGAAGAGGAAAGGTCTAGTAGCTGAAAGAACAGCCTGTGCAAAGGTACAGGATGGGGGACGGCACCTGTGACTCAAGGAGTAGGGCACTGGCCCCATATACCCGGGTGGTTAGGTTCAAGCCTGGTCCTGGCCAAAAACTGCAAGAAAAAAAAGGTACAGGATGGGCCAGACGTGTTCAGTGACTGGAGAGAGCTGAGAGTGGCTGAAGTGTGGGTAAAACATGGGGTGAAATGATGCTGGAGATCAAGATCGGGATAAGACTTCCAAAGGGCCTGGAATGCCATGTGGAGGAGTTTGAACTCTCCCTGACAGTAAGGAAGCTGAGAAATCAGAGGCCTGCAGGTGGATGTGATAGACTGTTATTACCTGTAGGAGGCGCTGAGGCCCTGAGCAAAGATAGTGAAGTGAAAACATAAGTGAAGGAGGTGGAGATACAAGGGATGGCTGAAGTTTTTAGTGAGGCTAATCAACACATAAAAAATGCAGGGGTGGGCAGTGCCTGTAGCTCAGTGGGTAGGGCGCCGGCCACATACACTGAGACTGACGGTTTCAAACCCAGCCTGGGCTAGCTAAACAGCAGTGACAACTGCAACAACAAAAAAATAGCCAGGTGTTGTGGCAGGTGCCTGTAGTCCCAGCTACTTGGGACGAGGGTGAGGCAAGAGAATCGCTTAAGCCCAAGAGTTTGAAGTTGCTGTGAGCTGTGATGCCATAGCACTCTACTGAGGACAACAGAGCGAGACTATCTCAAAAAATAAAAAATAGGCGGCGCCTGTGGCTCAGTGGAGTAGGGCGCCGATCCCATATGCTGGAGATGGCGGGTTCAAACCCAGCCCCAGCCAAAAACTGCAAAAAAAAAAAAGTTAAAAAATAAAAAGAATGTAGGGGAGAAATAGGTTTGTTGTGTGCACGGATTGATTGAGTTCTGAGGTTCCTGTTAGACATCTGGGAGGAAAGCCCATTAGGCAGCAGATAAAGCACACTGGAGTCAAATAGGGTTTGTCTCCCTGTTTTACAGAAGAGAAATTGAGGCTCAAGAAAGTTCATATTTGCCCCAGGTCACACCACTGGTTAGTGAAAGAATTTCAGGGCTTCAAGTCTGTTTCACTTTCCTTTAAAATTCTGCTTCCATCTAAGAAAGGAGCTTGGTCCCCTGGAAGTGGGACCTACCCTTTAATTCAGTTAAGGCAGGGACCAGACATGGGAACCTCAAGCCTAGAAAAAAAAAGAGTTAAGGGATACAACTATTATATACCCATAATATTTAAAAATTAAAAAAAAAAAGTTGGCTTGGTGCCTGTGGCTCAGTGGTTAGGGCATTGGCCACATACATCAGGCTGTGGGGTTTGAACCCAGCCTGGGCCTGCTAAACAACAATGACAAGTACAACACAAAAACAATAGCCAGGGGTTGTGGCAGTCCCAGCTACTTGGGACTGAGGCAAGGTTAAGCCCAAGAGTTGGAGGTTGCTATGAGCTGTGATGCCACAGCACGCTATCCAAGGCAATATAGTGAGACTCTATCTCAAAATAAAAAAACAGTCAAAAGACCAGACCAAGTTAGGGCTTGAGGCCTAACTGAAAGGATCCTACTCTTTTGGCAGGATCCAGAACACCTGTTTGAAACAATCTCCCAAGCCATGCTGAATGCCGTGGACCGGGATGCAGTGTCAGGCATGGGAGTGATTGTCCACATCATGTGAGTATGAACTGAGAGAAGTCCAGAAGCTTTGCAGACACCTGTCTCTCTACTCCCCCCCACTCCCAGCACACACCCTATCTTCCCAGCCCCCTGATCAGGTAAGAAATAAGAAAGGTGCTTTTGTCAAGTACAGTTTAGCAGGTCATACTTCCTAAAGGTGGCACTGGGAGCCTTCCCAGATTCCCCTGGCCTCTGTCAGGTGAAGCTTCATGACCCTGGGTCTTCTCCCCTTGCTCACAATAGACATTTCTTTAATGGTGTCCCCAAAATCTCGTGAATCTATGTAGAGGCAGTGAATCTTCTTCCCCAACTCCTACCAGCCTGGAACCTAGAACCGTGTGATATACTGAGCTTTGGGGACCATTTTCCAAGCCCCAGCCAGCTCCCTAAATGATATCTCCCCTTTCCCCTTATTTGGGGCAGTCACTAGGAACCTACAGTAATTGGATAGAATAGAAAACTGTCCTCCCAGCTACTTTCCTACATTTCAGAGTAAGCATTTGGGTCCTTATGGGATAGCCTTCTTAATTACCTGGAAAAACACAGAATTTTACCCCACAAGGTTCTCTTCTGTTCATTGTGTTGAAGCCCACCACACTTTTTCCTTGTTCTTACTTGTTCTCTGGGCCTGGGGAACTCCTTCCCTTCTCTGGAGGCTTTCATAGCCCAGCCCTGAATCATTTTCTGGAAAAGCCTCCCTGGGGTGGTTTCATTTGTGGAAAGTCTCTGTTCTCCCTTCCTCATGGCAAATAGAGCAGACAAGTTAACATGGCTGTACTGGAGGACAATTGAACTCTGAGTTAGCAGGGCAACTGTTCTGCTTCCCTGCCTGGGGCCCCAGGGTTGGAGCTGAGGGCTGGAGCGGGAGGAGCAGTCAGTCTAGATGGTATAGATGTTTTCTTAACATTTTTTCCCTTTGCAGTGAGAAGGACAAAATCACCACCAGGACACTGAAGGCCCGAATGGACTAACCCTATTCCCAGAGCCCACCTTTTTTGTTTTTTGTTTTTTTTTTGAAATAAAATAGGCTTTCTTTCATTCCTGCTTATCTTTGATGCTTTCCCACTGATCTCTGCCCCAGCTGGGCAGTTACAAACAGCTACTTGGTGTATGGCCAGCTGCACATACACCAGTGTGAGTAATCTGTGAGTCACTGGTGCATCCCTGCTGTGTGCTAGGCCCGACACAAAGCGCTTCTAGAATTTAATCACCATGATGACTTAAAGTAATTGAGATTATTTTTGTTTAGAGATGAAGGAGAGTTAAATGATTTATCCAAGTCCATGTTAGTAAGGATATAAACCCATTTCTGTTGACTTTAAAGCCTAAAACCCTTTTCACAAAACTCTACTGGAAAACCCTTAAATCTTCTTTGATCCGGGTAGAAATTTGGCTGAGTACCCACAAGTAGTCTAGATTATTCTAGATGAGGTTTCTTAACTTGGCCTGCACATTAGTCACCTGTGGAGCTTCTAAAACACCAATACCATGAACTCATTCCTCAAGATTCTGACCTTTTAGGGGCTTAGGCACCTGTCCTTTTTTAAATTCCTCAAGTGACTGCAGCTTACAACCTGCAGGACAGATATAATAAATAAGCAAGTGGATTATTTATATAGCAGAGTAGTTCCCAAATGTTACCCCCAACAGAATCACTTGGAAGATTCAGTGGATCTGGCGTAGGCCCTGAGAGTTTACATTTCTGATTCCCAGCTCATCCAGGAGCCACACTTTGACAACCACTAGATTTTAGGCTAAACGTGTCCAGATGGACAAGATGAGGTACATAGAAGTACAAGTTCAGGCTCGGCGCCAGCCACATACACCTAAGGTGGCGGGTTCGAATTCAGCCCGGGCTTGCTGAACAACAATGATGGCTGCAA